GCTGTGGTGCTGCTGGCCCAGAGACCTCACTGCGAGAACCACTGTCCTAAACTATGGTGGCCATTAACCAATCCGGAAGTGTTTCTTGAGCACCTACTCTGTGCCCAACCCTAGGGACACAGAGCAAGAAGAGAGCATTGTCCTCATATAGGTTAGATTTTGGAGGAAAGAACAATCACTCCCATGAAAAAGTCAGAAGAAACTATCAGGCCGTGTCTTCTGGGTGTAAAGCTGTGTGGTCTGAAGAGCAGGTGAGGAAGGAGGCAGGAAAGAGCAGAACCGGCTGGAGAAGGCAAGGCTGGGGCTGGGTCTCGTGAGATTTGGAGAGCTGCAAGGAGAGTGGCAGGGATTTAGGGGGCGAACACACAGGGCATATACGGGAAAATGCGAAGTACGCAGAGCACAGCAACCTGTGAGATCAAGGGGCTTCATAAAGATGATTACGATGATGGCAGCAGCTACCATTCATGGGACCATTACCACAAGCCGCCAGCCACTGGGCAGAACTCTTCACAAACTCGATCATATTTAATGCTCAAAGCAACCTGATGCAGTTCATAATAGCTCTACTTATGGCCACTGCTCTCAGCTGTTTGTAGATCTGGACTCAAGGGTCCAGCAGTGGGAGTGAAGCTGGACACACAGGAGTCACCTGACTCACTAGACTGTGTTTCTGGGGCAGAAGGAGAGAAACAGGAGTTGGAGTGTGACATGTTAGCCCTCTGCCTGCCACAAGCATGTGCTTATACTGACTAGATATGGAAGACTCTTCAGTGGCTTTTAGCAATTTTAAGGGAGGATTAATTTCTAAGACAGAGATACTTGACCACTTGGTCCTGTTTACTCTTTTCCCTTCCAAACAGGCCAGCAGTTACCTTGAAGGGAGAAAATGAAACAGGAGATAGTTCCATAATTGCAGGGCCCAGGTGACTGAGGGAAAGCTGGAGGGTTTTGTCGGCCCTTTCTGTATCATGTTCTGTGGAACACCAGACCAACCAGGTGGGATGTACCACCACAGGGTGGGTCTACAGCCACACAAGACTGGGAAAGTCCATATCCTATATCCCCACTGTTGGGGTTGCAAAGCATCTTTCCTAGATTGAAGGCTCTGTGAAGTTCTTCAGTGTAGAAACCAGCTTCTCTTGGTTTTACCTCCTCATTTCCCAAATGTAGTTGATTATGAGCCACATTTTTTGGACCACCCAATGACCAATGAAGCTGAGCACCATGGCAAATGCAGTGGGGTACCCCAGCCTCTGTGAATGCTAGCCTAGAAGTGTTCACGCACAAAGGGCAGCAGAGAGAGCTTTTATCTAATTCCACGTCCTGTGGCCTCATTGCAGGCTGTGTGGCTTGGCTGACCTGGGTACAATTCCCTAAGCCACGAAGCAGAAGCTAAATGAGCTATCAGAAAAAGGCCAGGGGTTAGAGTGTGATTGATCCAGCCCAGACTTTGTAGAGGACCCTGAGCCCAGAAAACAACTGCTGTGTGGTAAAGACAGTACATTAGAGCTCTGGGAAACATAAATTGCCCCAAACAGGGAGGTGTCCTCTAGTTGGATCCAGAAGTCCCTGCAGCTCCAGGGGAATTGTAAAGAAGAGTCACTCAGAAGCTACTGGTATTTGGGCAGCCACAGAAAGTGCACAGACTCTGGTGGTCTGACCTTCTGACGAGACGGGCTGGCCCAGAGCTTGTGGAGCACTGTGCTGGCCCCAGAGACAGGCCATTCTGAGGTCAAATTCCGTCTCAATCACTTCCTCGCTATACAACCCAGGGAGAGTGACACAGCTTCCCTGAGCCAGTTTCCTCATTGGTAAAATGGAGATAATACAATACTTATCTCATGGGTTTGTTGGGTGAGGTTTCCCAAGGGTGGTTCCGCCCTAGGGCCCCATTGGTTGGTTCCAAGGAGTGTCTTAATTACCACCCCAAATATTACCAAGGGTCCACACAGAGTAGCCTCCAGATCATCTGACCTAAAATTCAGCTCCTATGTTCCCCATAAGATTAATTCTCTCTCCGATGCTTCTGGATCGCACCTTGACTCCCAAGCTCAAAACTACTATTTTCTCCTCCCAACCTGATCCCTCCACACATATCCATCCAATTACCAAATCTTGTGATGGCTTTTTCAGTTGTGTATGCTTAGACAAGTCACTTAACCTCTCTGGGCCTCCATGTCATCACCTATGGCTTGAGGAGTAGGTGCTTAAGTCATGGCTTTCAAATTTCCTCTAAACCGTACAAGTCTCTCCATACAGCCCCTTATGATGAAATCCAAGATCTAAAACCATCCAGAGATTCTGGGTCTAGGGTAAGACCCAGAAATCTGTAGTTTTTACATCTTCCTACATGATCCTGATGGACAGCCAGCTTTAGGACCCATTGGTGAATTCTTAAACGTGCAATGTTCTCAACCAATAGTCGTGAATAATATTGGAGCAAGACACTAGCATTCAAGCACTAGCTCATGCCAACTTGAACCTGTTTTTCTTTTCAACTTAGGATACAGGTATGTAATCCCTTTACCTTCTGGGCTGCCTGATGTTATTTGAAATTATTCCCTTTATGATAAAGGCTGACTATACAATTTCAGGTCCAAAAGCCCAGACAGGGACCTTCCCCATGCAGATGTGGTACTCTTGTGGGTTCCTAGCTGCAGTCAAACTGCTGACCCACACTGAGGTCCAACCAGCCAGCTTTAGTATCTTCTTGGCCCTTTAGGAGGAGAAGAGTGTTAGTAATTAAAGAGATCCAGAAGGAGATGAGTCACAAAGGAATGGGAAGAGAGGATGAGGGGAGTGATGCCTGGCTACCATGGAAGGGCAGCAGAAAGGGTGGCGGTAGGCCAGCAGAGGTGTTAATTCTCCATATTGCCAGGAACTTCCTAAACGGTTGGTAACTGCTGGTCTTCCTCATGGACACAACAGTATTTGTCCCCGACCAGAAAGCATACAGTGTGAAGTTTAATTACTGACCTACCAGGGGCTGGGATTCTCAGAGAAAGAACACTCAATGAATTTGAATTGTTCTTACACTTGAGGTCATTATTATCTTTGGGTTATGATAGAACCAATGTCAGTATTTTTAAAAACTTCCAGGTGGAGTTTCTGAAAAAAAAAAGTTAAAGAGTTAGACTGGCATCCAAAAATATCTGGAGAATTCACAGACATAAAGGGGATCCAATATGATTTTGGCTAGATACTAAGAGCTTAATGATGTTTATAGCAAGTTCCAGAATTATCCTCTGTTTCTAAATCTATGCCACGGGACAGTGACATTTTGGCTTGGGTGACATTTTATACACAACCAGAGGTTAGCAAGAAGTTTGGCTCCACACCTAACTTCATACTGTAAAATTCAAAGCTTAGTAAATCAAACACCCCACTGACGGACACACTCCCTTTTGTTTACTAATAGTCTCTGAGAAATGAATACGTTTTCCTTAAAAACACTTCCTAATAACTTCCTCCCTATTTTAAAATAAAGATATAAAGATAACTGGAAGGCTCTCTGGTGAGACTTAATGTTCAAACACCCATTGCCATTTGTCTCAATCAAAAATATATGTGAAAACAAATACTGCCAATGTATCAATTGTCAATCTGCCATAGCAATACTGCTTGAAGTGTGATCAATGACCGATAATATGAACATCACCTTGGAGTTTATTAGAAATGCAGATTCACAGCTTGCCCCGAGACCTACAGAATCTATGGAACTGGGGCCCAAAGATCTCTGCACAAGTTGTCTTGGAAATTCTGATACATACTAAACTTTAAAAAGAACCTGCCTCATTGGGTTTTTTTTTTTGTTTTTTGTTTGTTTGTTTGTTTTTAAAGATTTTGTTTATTTATTTGACAGAGAGATAGAAAGAGAGCACAAGTAGGCAGAGCTGCAGGCAGAGGGAGAAGGAGAAGCAGGCTCTCCGCTGAGCAGGGAGCCCGATGCGGGGCTCGATCCCAGTACCCCGGAATCATGACCTGAGCCGAAGGCAGCTGCTTAACCAACTAAGCCACCCAGGTGCCCCAAGAACTGCCTTATTGTTGGTCAACATTTTGCAACATATATGTGTATCTAATCATCACATCGTACCACTTAAGGCGATACAATGCGATGCAATGTTATTTGTTAAATGTATCTTAGTAAAGCCGGGGATAAAAAGAACTGCTATAGAATTTGATGGGAAAAAAATCAAGGCAAAGAAAAGATGTAAATGGAGTAAATGTGGCAAAATCTTGATAATGGTTGAATCTGGGTAATGGATGTGTGGAGTTCCTTGTACTCTCCTTTCTACTTTGGTTTGTTTTGAACTTTTCACAATAATAAAAATATGAACAATAATTCATCTTTTCCTTAAAAGCAACAAAAGAAATCTCTGCACAAGTATTTATTAAGTGTCTGAAATATGCTTAACGTTGTCCTGGGGGCCCATGACTGAGGCAGAACAGCCTAGCTAAGTACACCCCCAATCTGCTTTAAAAATAGAGGTTTGTATGTATCCTTACCTACCATGGACATTAACAAAAGGCCCATTTTTACCCATGATCTAGACTGGTTATTTTTAAGCAATCTTTTTCCTTTTAAACCATGAGATCTTTCATTCAGCAAACGCCTAGGAAGAAATCCAATATGTCAAATAGAATGGAGCTTCTGTGGGGGAGGGGTGTGTGTGTGGGCACATACCTCATATGCATGTGTGTACGTGTGTGTATGAATTCACATGCCTACTGGGAGTTGCAGCTCAGGGGTGAGCCCTGCCTGCTACCTCCCCCTACCATCAGGCTTCTGAGGAGGCACTGAGAGACCCTAGGTTTCCAGACGATTGACTGAGATGCCCAAACTGGCCATGTGTAAGACAATTCTTGTTTCCCATCTGAGCAAGGAAACGTGGGCTGCCCATGGTCTGAGTATCTGGTCCTGGATGTTTGGCCTTGTTAAAGAAATGAATGAGTCTCGCTGAGCACATCATAACCTCCACGACTCCCTTTGCCAACAGATATTGATTTTGCCACCCGCAAGATCGCAATCCATCTGACTCAGACAAAGATTATTAATCAAGATGGCGATAACTTCAAGACAAAAACCAACAGCACGTTCCGCAACTATGAGCTGGATTTCACTGTTGGAGTGGAGTTTGAGGAGTACACGAAGGGCCTGGATAACCGGACTGTTAAGGTGAGGACCTGGCTTGGCATTTCTACTCATATACTCTGTGTGCAGAAGCTGGCCATCTGGCTTCACAATGAAAATATGACAGAAACAACCAGGGAGGGATCAGGAGAGGGGACCAGAGTGACTTGATGCTAGCAATAAGCAAGTATCGGAAGCTCAGCAGGGAGAAGCAAGCTGGCTTCTACACTAAGCTTATAAGCGAAGGAGAGATAGAGGACTGCCAACCTGTCCAGGACCTGGGGTAGGAGGCCAGCTCCTATGCCAACGTGGGCCTGATGGGCAAGGGCAATATCGTAGGGAGTGACAGTGATTTTGCAAGCTGGGTAGCACAGCTCTTCATCCCAGGGCAGCCCTACTCAGCACCAGCCAAGCATTGCCATGGAGCACGGGGGCCTCATGTGGCTAGGTTGCTTTTTTTCTTTTCAAGAGATGTTGAGAATTCATACGTTTTTATATGAAATACCTCAATTTTGGATTTTTTAAAGAAAAATGCAGTGCTAATCAGAAAAAGTCAGTAGACTAAAGAAGTCAAGGTTTACCCAGTGCTAGTTACTTAGAGAAATCTCTAGCATGTTGATGGTTTCTGTCCCAGCATCACCTCAAACTCACAGGACATAATCAAGGAAATCTCCATCCACCGGAAGTCCAGACTTCTAGCCCCTTGAACTGCTTAGATATAGGTAGGACCCTGAAAGTGAGCAGACAACTCTGAGTGCACAAGTGGGGAGTTATCTCGAGGCCCGAGAACTGGACCCTGCAAGAGAAGCGGGCCCTCACCCAGAGGAGCTGTTTGTAAATAAGGCAGAGAATGACAGCAGCAGGGAGAAGTGGGGTTGGGGGCAGGGGGCAGGCGGAGACAGGGTAACAGCAGGCCCCCCTCGCCTTTTGCGTCACCATGTGGTATCACAGCCCAGCGTCCAGTTGCTGTAGTGCTCACACTCACACTCAGTACACCTGTCTTTGGTTATCCAAATCCAATTATACCTGGTCAGTCCCCGCAAACAGGAACAGGGGTAAATGCAATCTCAGTCATATTTAAGGATTCATCCATTCCAATCTTTTTTTTTAAGATTTTATTTATTTATTTGAGAGTGCATGTGAGTGAGAGAGAAAGAGAGCACCAGCACAAATGGGAGGAGGGGCAGAGAGAGAGGGAGAAGCAGACTCCCCACTGAGTAGGAGCCCAACACAGGGCTGGATCCCAGGACCCCAGGATCATGACCTGAGCCAAAGGCAGGTGCTTAACTGAGTGAGCCACCCAGGCATCCACCCCCACCCCACCCAGTTCCAATCTTAGCATCATGCAAGAACTGCATGGATTATACAGCCCAGGAAACTTGGAAGGACTTCCAGTTTGTCATTTACCATGGTTGCCACTGACCACTCACTGTCCAGGTCCATGCAGTTTATACAAGGGTGGGCAGCTTGCATATTTATAGTACCTGCTCCCTCCATGCCAATGCAGCCACCAGGACCTCTGCCTTGGCTCCCAAAGTGAGTATCTCATCTGCAGGTATCTGTGCCCTCACCCCAGCAGTGGGCCAGCCCATCAGAGTGCCACAAGGAAGCTGAATCCTCCACCCTGCCTTTCCCCTTTCACCATGAGCCCCACTCTCTCCAGAGTCCCACTCTCCTCTGGTGCTTCCAGGAGCTCTTTCAAAGTCAGAGGTCTCAACTCTCCCCCAAAGCAAGGGACATGAGCTCTGGCTGCTCTCCTGGGGTGGGGAGAAAAAGCTGTCATCATTCTTTGGCGATGACTCTAAAGCCAAGAGAGCAAGACGCATTTTATTTCTCCATCAAATTGTCCTGCAACATTGATAATCTCAGCCATCAAGGCAAGGTTGAATTATATTTAGTGCTCCTTGCTAAAGAAAAGTGGGAAATGAAAAGCACTTTGGAAATGCTTCCATCAAAGCAGTCTTGGCATAAGGGCCGAAGCTTCCAGGCTCTGGAACAGCCCCTTGTAGAATCCCCTCCCTGAGGGGTTGATGAATCGACAAGGCTTCTCCGAACTGTGTGGCTGGAAGGCCAATTCCTCAGACACCAGAACGGATGGGAAATTTGTCACTGAATTTTTGCATCACTCTGCTGTTCTAGCCTAATCTGTTCGCAATGATTCATTTTCCTCTCCTTTCCATTCTGGATGTGGGCTGTGGAAAAGCACGCCTGTACTCTCTGACTTCTTCTTTCATCGCCTTTAATAGTAAAGAACTCACTCTTCCTAAGATAAGTTACATCCTTCCAACCCTGACCATTAGAGTATTCTGCCTCTCAACACCTACTGTTGTGCCTCTTCGCCTTTCCCCGGGGTCAGCTCATGGTGCTGCAGAGAGAAAGAGAATCCCACATCCCACTTCTTATCTCCGCTTTGCCCACAACAAAAAGTTGGGGCTTATACACACACACACACACACACACGAGACTGGTGGGGCCTGAGAAGTCCCCAGGACAGAATTTGCCCAGTCTCCAGCAAAAGGCTGTTCCCATGAGCATCACAACCCAGACCAGATGCCCTCGGGACTACCTACTTGCTGTAGTCAGACTGGAACCCTTCAGCTGGAAAGGGACCACAGGGAGCGAGTGAGTCTATCTCTCTGGTTAATTTCTGTGGCCCACATGTGGTGGCACGCCTGAAGGTGCACAAAGCTGTGTGTCCGTGTGCATGTGCACACATGTTCACATGTGTGCGTGCACGTGGGCATAAATGTATCTGTGTCTGCACGTGTGCGCATGCATCCGTGTGTGCGTATGTGCATGTGTTGCTATAGTATTCATGCTCTTATTCTCCAGGGCTCTACTTCTGAACATCTCTGTCACCCTCACGAACCCCTCTGAGCACCTCACCGTTCGGCAGTCTGGGGGAGAGATGTGTGTGTGGGGTGGGGTTGAGGCAGAGGCACAATAGGCCCTACCTAGAGTGCCCAGATCTATGCCATCCCAGAGCAGGGGTGGTGACAACACTTTAACCGTGGGGTCGACACTTTGAGGGACCCAGGGACCCTCTTCTTCCTTCCTGCAGGTCATATATATTTTTCACTTACTGCTCTGATTTGTTTCTAAGAGGATTTAAAGCCCTTTTCAAAATTACACAAGCTACCCAGAATAAAATTAAAAAGAAGTAACTGATCCTCATGTAATGGAATAGCATGCAGGCGTAGAAAGGAATGGAACACTGATACATCCCTGCATGACCTTGGGAAACATCCTGCTAAGTGAGAGCAGTCAGACACAAAGGCCACATATTGTATGACTTACATGAAATGCCCAGAATAGGCAAATCCCTAGGGGCACCTGGGTGGCTCAGTGGGTTAAGTGTCTGCCTTCGGCTCAGGTCATGATCCTGGAGTCTTGGAATCGAGGCCAACTTTGGGCTCCCTGCTCAGCGGAGAGCTCAGCGGAGAGCCTGCTTCTCCCTCTCTTCCCCACTCGTGCTCTCTCTCACTATCTCTGCCAGGGTTTCTTTGAGGGGCAATGAAAATGTTCTGGATTTGGACAGTGGTGACAGTTTTACAACCTTGTGAATATACTAAACATGACTGAATTGTATTTTAAAAAGGTAAATTTTATCGTATGGGAATTATATCTCCATTGAAAGCAATAAGTAATTGGGGCGGACAATCAGGGCAGGGGAAAGCAGACACAGACTACGGTGGTTAGAACAAGGAACGTCACGTGGTGTCCACGAGAGCCCAGGGGCAGCAGGCTTCTCCGGGAGGCCTGCACTTGGAATTGCGGGAGGGGAGGGTGGGCGCTGCCAAAATTGCTCTTGCACAAGGGCAGGTGCGCTGGGAAGGTTTAATCATGTTCTTGGTGCTCTTCAATGTGCTTAATTTAAAGAGCCGTTGTTTTCCTTTAAAAACAAAACAAAAAAAACCTCTTAGGGGACTGATTCAAACTTTTCACCAGAAAAGTTGCATGAAAATAGCAAAGACCATCCATATACTCTTTCCTGAGAACTACCTACTGTCAACGTTTTGCCCCATTTGCTTTATCTTTTGTACATGCTCTCTCACTATTATAAACATATTTTTTTCTGAACAATCTGATGTGTTCAGTGTTTCCTAAGAATTAGGATATTCTCTTACATAATCACAGTATCATTATCCACCTCTGTAAATTTAACACTGAGATAGTACCTTATCTAATTTCCCATAAGGGCTGTTTTTAACGATGTTAACTGTGGACACTGAGAGAGGGAAACTGCAGCGTGGGCCCAGCTTCCTTCTCTAATTCAGTGCAAGTGCATCTTCTTTATCCTTTGGCTCAGAAGCAATGGTTTCCCTCACTTGTCTCCATCCCCTCAACCTCAAGATCTTTTAAGGCAATTGAGCCTCTTTCAGAACTTCCTCTGATGCAGGGATGAGGGACACCAACTGAAAGCAAATTGACTTGTGGAATTTTAGTTCATTTAACCATTCTCTCTTCTTACTGGCTGTTTTATGTGGGAGTAAGGCTATAACATTGTAGGTATTACCATAATTCATTGGTAACCAATTTACTTAGGGTCAGAATAACTTTTAATCTTGCTGCCTACTAAGATTTATTAAAAGAAAATATTAGGACAGGCCCTCGTGCACCAACATTTTTCTTTTTTGTTCCTTCTACGAATTTGCCAAACCCCTACTACATGAGAGCCCTGGGTCAGGAGCTATGGGTAAAGTAATGAATTAGAGCTCTTTCTGCCCTGAAAGATCTCACAGTCTCATGAGGAAGCAGACAAGTAGATGGACAGTTACCATGCAGTGTCCATATTGATGGTCATGTGTGTACTCCAGGGGGGCCATAGAAATCAAGGCAAGGAGGAGGGCTGGCTGAGTCATTGTCAAGAATCGTCATCAATGAAGAATATATACACTCATTTATTCTCCCACATGGATTTACCTCAAGATTCCATTTCAACAAAATAATTCAATCACAGAGTCATTCAACACTGCTCACCAAGCACCTTCTCTGCTGAGTCTGGTGTTGCAGAAACAACGTGGCCTCTTCTTTCATGGAGCTTATTGTCTATTGGGAGAGATAGATACTAGTTCAGTCAACATGTATTAGGTGTCCATGATGTGTGAGGCAATGTGGGCTCGGGCAGAGGGGGTTACAAGACACAGTCCTTGCCCAAATAAGAAGACATGGGTCCTTTCTCATCCTTTTGGGAGGGAACTGAGTCCCATGACTGATGATGAGCAATGATAAATGAATATTCCTTTCTCATCTATTTGGGAGAGAATTCTGGAATATTCCAGACAACATCTCCCTCCCAGAAGAGCAAGGAGAGCAACCTGTGAATTAAGCTTCTTCAACACATTCAAAGATGTGAGGCTTCGGATGGCCCCAAAGAAGGAGGAGACGTATTTTCTTTAGAAAACATGTAGAATTTTATTGTTAAATTAATTTAGGGACTATTAATACATGCAGATGGTTTAAGAAAATTTAAACAGTAAAAATAAAATTTCCTTCCCATCCTGACCCTCCACCTCTCGATTCTTCCTCAGGGACGATCACCATTAAGGGCTCTTTTAGTTCCTTGCAGAGAATATGGGCAAACATAGGCATGCATACACATCCCCCCCCCCTTGTTTTATGCACATGGCCATGCTCCTTGCATTTTTAACTTCACCGTACACTATGGAGACTGCTCTCCTCCATAGGTATAGGACTGCCTCCTTCTTTTAAGGGCTGCATAGCATGGATGAACCACACATATTTAACCAGCCACCCACTGATGGAATTTATGAGGCTTCTAGTCCTTTGCCATAACAAACAACATTGTGATGTGTTGAGGAGTAAAATGAGGAGGGATAAAATTGTACATAAAATATATAATATGGTCAAGGTCAAATATTATTTTAGAACTAGGTAGACTTAACAATCTGTAGAAAACAAATTTGTCCCCAAACATAGACCCGAATGTGCAAGGACAGTAAATAAAGAAACACAGGTCAGTTTGTCACCAACCAGGTTTACAAGATAGAGAGAAAAGCAAACGTCTGGTCCTTAGCATAATATTGTTCACAGAGGCATAATACAATTTGCACATACTTGGAAGAAAACCAGCTGGCATCGGGGTCATCCCTGAGAAAGGACAGGACCGATGCAAAACCACTGTCTGGATGGGAGTGACATCATCCTTCGGGAGGTGCATGTGCAGTCCTCATCTGGGCTCAGAGGCGGGTGGCCCTGGAGAACCACCTAGGGATGGTACAAATGGTCCCGAGGCAGGTGCTAGGAGAAATAAAAGGAGAAAGAGAAGCCAGAGGAGTTGGGTGTGTGGGGATGTATAATCTGTAAGTGTGTGCCCAGGAGTTTGAGCCTCTTGGGGTTCAGTAGGTTTATGGCTTCTTCAACTTGCTTGTCAGCTCAGCCTGGCCGTCCAGCACGAGCTGTGCATCTCTGCTGCCGACCCCCCCGCCCCCGTGCGACTAGCCAGTCTGCACTGCTGTCCGGAGGAAGCCCAACACCAGGAGCAGGGCCACCCTCCTGCTTCTGGATGATGAGGATGGCCCTGGAGCCATCTGTTGTGGTCCCCTCCTAGTCAGGTAGCTTCTCTGCCTGTATTATTGCCCCACGATAGGCAACCCTCACCATGCGGTTCCTGTAGGGAAAATTCCCAGAAGCAGAATTTCTAGGTCAAAGAATATACACAATGTTATATTTCAAGAGGTAATATAAAACTGCCCTGCAAAAGGATTCAGACCAATTTATATATCCACCAGCCATTTACAGAGGGGCCTGCTTCTGCACACTTCCTCTAACTCAGTGTGTTATCAGACTCTTTGATCTTTGACTGTATGATGAATTGTATCTGAAAAACAGCCTTAATTTGCATTTCTCCTATTATGAATAAGGTTGAATATCTTTTCTTAGGTTTAAAAGCCATCTGCTGGGTTTTAGGTTGTTTTTTTTTTTCTTTTCCTTGTAAGCTGTTGGCTGTGTCCTTTTTAAAATTTCCTATTAGGGTAATGATCTTTCTCTTTTTGATTTATAGGAGCCCTTTATATATAAGGAAGTCAGGTCTTTGATATGTGTTGCAAGTATTTTTCCCGGTTTGTTCTTCATCTGTTGACATTGTGCTATTTTACCCTTCCAGAAATTTTACATCATTTATAGTCAAATGCATCATCTTTCCCCCCTGATTTGTAATGCTATCTTCACCATATGATAAAATGAGAGAGTAGAATTCCTTTTTTTTTTTTTAAGATTTATTTACTTATTTGAGAGAGAGAGAGAGAGGGCATGAGCGAGGGCAGGGGCAGAGGGAGAGGAAGAAAGAGAATCTCAAGCAGTCTCCCCACTCAGTGCAGAGCCCAAAGCGGGGCTTGAGCTCACAACCCCCGAGATCATGACCTGAGCTGAAGTCAAGAGTCGGACGCCTAACCGACTGAGCCACCCTGGTGCCCCTAGAATTCTTTGAAAGAGAACAGAACCAGCCACAAAAAACCGGTTTGGCAGGAATGGAAGGCATATGTGGAAAGTGAGTCTGGCAGATCTTGGCTTGGCAGAGGCTGAGGGCTCTGTCCTGTAGGCAGGCAGGAACCTGGCAATGGCCACAGGAACTGCAGCTGCGGGCTTCGGTTTGTTCCGTCCTAATCAAGGCCATACATTTGATTTCCCTGGGAACCTGTCATTGCAGACGCTGGTCACCTGGGAAGGTGATGTCCTCGTGTGCGTGCAGAAGGGGGAGAAGCAGAACCGTGGTTGGAGGCAGTGGGTTGAAGGGGACAAGCTGCACCTGGTAAGTCCCGGGGTCGGCCCAGCTCCCTTCCACAGTACTTACACAAACTGCAGGTTCACCTCACCAGGTGCTTTGACAAGAAAAATGGCCCTGCTCTCCTCCCCTGAGCTCCGGCCAAATGTGTGTGGTCATATAGTCAGAAAGCCATTCCCATCTGGCTCAGGGCACCCCAGGAAGAAATCTATATGACTGTTTCTGTGAAAAGCTGCAATTAAATGAGAGTTCAAAATGCTGAGTTAAGAAGCCGAGATCCCAGGAGAAATGCAGGGAACCTGTTAAAGACCAGCTGAAGAGAAATGTAAGGCACAGAATGAAGATGCGCCAGAGGAGGGTGGCTCCAGGGCTTCTCACCATTATGTGAGTCAGGAAGAAGAGGGGTGGGAGTGGGATGGATAGGGGCAGGTGGGCTTGGGAACCACCTTACAGACCACAGGTGTTGGCATTAGAACAGAGCAGGAGGAACAATGGCTGATCTCCTGAAATGAATTATATGTGTCTAGATAGCTGAATTTTTCAGTCTTCAATCTTCAAGGCAATTTATGTGTCTGGCATTCATATAGCGAGAAATCTTTCACTCCTTCATGCATTCAGTCACTCATTTGTTAAATGGCTCTTCATTCATTCAGTCATTCCTTCACCTATGGAGTCAGGCAGGTATTGGCCCCAGTGTCAGTATTCAGGTCACCGTGGTGCCCTTCAGAGCTGGGCTGGCCTCACCTGAGATCTTTATTTTGGAGGCAGTGTCAACTGGTGATAAATGGGAAGCATTCACCCTGTTTTCCATTGACGGTTCTCCCTACCTGCTCTGGTTTGGATGATGGATTTTTTTAATTGTAGTACAATCCTCAGTGGTCCCTGTGGCTAAGACAATGGATTCATTGTCAGCTGCAATGATTTTGTGGCCATCCCCACACTCATATTTTTCTCTCCTCCCTCGAGGAGTCATGAGGTGCAGATAAGGCAGATAAGAGGCTCCCTCTGTCTGGATGAAAAGCAGCATCTTGCCTGCATAGGCAGGCCTGGGGGGAGCCCTTCTGCAGCCCACGCCCTGTTGCCCTGTCATTGCCTGGGATGCCACCAACCAACATTTCAATCACCAGGGGCCAGAAAGCCCACATCATGGAGTGACAGCCCACCAGCCTGCATATTCCTGGGCCCTTGCCTTCCAAATGCTTCTCCCCGCTAGATCCTTTCCTTCTTCATGGCTTCACTGCCTTTTATAAATTAAGAGATGTTGCTTTAATCACGGGAGTAGGAAAAATCCCCCCCAAGAGGGTAATTTCTTTACATCTTTCATTTTTATAGTTGTTCAAGCTCAATCCAAGTGTCAAAATCAAATTACTGCTCCCTGCAGGGCATGCCAGCTGATTGGGTCTATGAGAAGCACTTTGCCCAGAATTACTAAGTGTCCTCTGTATTCCAGCTTCCCCACCCCCACCCCAACTCACAGACACCAAGAGGTTGGGCGGGGCGGTGGGGGGGGCAGGCAGAGGAAGGCCTGGCCTGCAAGTCACTCACCCACTTTCTGACCTTGCAGGATCTGACCTGTGGTGACCAGGTGTGCCATCAAGTGTTCAAGAAGAAGTAATGGCCACAAGGAGCCCGCGAAGCCTGGGCTCCACACTCCACCAAGGGTTCTCTGCGGCCTTTGGGAAGCAGCCGGTGGGGGCGACTCTCCCACTCCTGACAGAGCCCATTAAGACATCTGTATGGATTTTAAATAGAATGAGTGTGTGACAGTTGACAGACATATTCTTCCTTCTTTGAAACCTGGCATTAAATGAAAAAACAAAAATCACTCCCATACTTTGAAACCCTTTATATCTATCTCCCTTTATTTCTAGAACTGTCGGTTTTATCCACAGGCAAAAGTGGTGATTGCCTGCATGGTGGTTCTCTGGGAAGCCTTTGTTGTGGTGGTGGTTGTTTATTTTTTGGTTTAGTTTTGTTTGTTTTTTTGTTAATTTGTTTGTTTGGGGGATTACTTCATCTGGAAACATTCTCTGGCTAAGATAGCATCCCCTACTCATTGCCCTTTGAGATTCATTTCTTTGAATAATACATTCATTTCTCCAAGAGTCTATTTTAAGACACATACGGCTTCCCGTTTGTGCTTTGCCTTCAGCAGCACGGGGAAAGCCACTTGTAAAGGTCTCTGCAGGTCTGTAGGACCAGCTGCTCTCGGTCCAGGACAGCCCTCTGCCCTTCAGCCCTAGGCAGAGCAACACCCATGCAGAGGACTCCCAAGCTGCCAGGAAGCCTGAGTTCCAATCTCGCTGCTCCACTTCTTAGCTGGGTAGCCACGGGCGCATAGTTTGACCTCTCTATCCTTGTTTTTCTCTTCTATGACACGGAAAGACAAAAATAGCAACTCCTCCATTGGGTCACTATGAGGGGTAAGCAAGTCCGTGCATATGGAGTGCTTGGGGCTGGGCCTGACCCATGGCAGGAACAAGGTCCCTGCTGGCTCTGGTCATTATGTAGAGTTACTCCCTCTACAGCCCAGGGGTCCAGATGAGCGGATGCTAAGTAGTGAGGGGTCAGTACCTCCGAGGCCTCCTGGTGCTTCCAGAACATTAGGTTTGTTACTCTGAAGAATTGTATTTTCCTACTGGATACACAAATGGAATAGTGCACCTGGAGGAGCAGAGTGGTCAACAGGGACAGACTTATGGTGGATCATTCATGGGGTCCTGGGAAGGCCCTGCAGGTCAAAGCCATTTCCTTCCCCCCTCTGTAGCAGGGCCTAGAATCCCACTGCTAGGCAAGCAGTACCTTTGAAAAGCAGGTTTATCCCCAGAGAGGTAGGTAGCACATGGTATTCGCCCACTCCAATGTGACTTGAATGAACCGATTATTCATTGATCCTGAGCATCCTAAATGGAATTGAGGGCAGAGAGTAAAGTGGTAATCTGGCCATGTGGACCAGGGCCAGCCTTGGCCTAAGCCCCTGTGACCAGGCAGCCATGCCTTCCGGCAAGCTGTTCTCCCCAACAGCTATGCCGTGTTCTGGCAGCAGGAAAGCCAGAGAAGTGCTTGGATGGGGTCTCATGCTGGCTGGGGAGGTAGGGGGGAGGGGTCTCCCCATGGATGCTAGGGAGGAGGGGAGCCTCCCAAGGAGCTGCAGGCCCATCTCCTGGGGCAGACCAGGGACCAAGGGCAGGGACTGGTGAAGCAAGCTCTTCGTCCCCAGCTCCCCTGGAGCCTCTCCAGGAGCCTCGGGTTCCTCTTTTGATGCTCCCTCCTAGTCTTGCCCTAGCCCACCACTGCCTCAAATCACTCTCTCCTTTGTCCCTCAAGAACAAGATCCATCTGAAAGCCCACTGGGGACTAGCTGTAAAGCGTTCTGTCCATGGCACAGGTTCTAATTATTAGTAACTTGTGATCCTAGGTTTTGCAAAGTGTATTCTCGGGGGTGTTAGCCACCCCCCACCCCATGGTCAACTGAACTTTGGAAATGCTGCGACCTATAGCTCTGTCTTAGAAATTCACAGCGAGAAGTCCTGTTTTTAAAGCTCTGAAAAGTCCTGCAGCAAAGAAGCCAGACCTTAAACCCTGGGACCCCCTTACCCACAGCATTTCACTCCTGCACAGTGTTTTGGAAACACTGACTTGTTCCTTACATGTGCAGAGCACTTTTTCAATTACAGATAACAAAGAATATAATTTAAAACTCCCGTTTCCAAGTGGGATTTTCTCAATATATGTTTCCTCAAATGAAGAGTAACCGAATGGATTAGTTGACATGTGGTGCAAAAGACCCATAGTGGCTGTATTCATTCTACTGATCCTTCTTGTTCAACAAAGATGCACCTGCACTCAGAAGCAGTCCCATCTGAGGTCCTCATTTCAAAGCCAGGCAGATGTTCTGGGCCAGGGCCTGTCTTCCCGTCCCTCACGCTCTGTGGGGGAGATGGGGCAGGTCACCTCCTTCCTATTTCTGTTCCTCGGTCTATTTCAAGACTAAACCATGACAGGAATGCTTCCCCCAACATGCACAAGGCTGTTTGGGAACAGAGTGGAAGGGGTCGCCTTTGAAAACCCGTCTTACACTAAGGCGGGGCAGGGCTGCTGGGAAAGACTCTCAGAACCTCAGAATGCCAGCCTCCAGGGGTGTCCTGAGAAATGGGGGGGTGGGGCTGAGCTGTGAACCAGGGGGCCAGATCTTGCAAGTTAAAGAAAGCCTGTCCCGTGAAAAATCCCAGTTCACAAATGGGAAGCACCTTGGAGTCGCTCGAGCGTGGACTTAGTTCAAATCCTGCTCTGCTCCACCCCAGCTGTACACTTCCTGTGCACCTCCATGTCCCCTTCCGTAGGGTGAGGAATGAGGACTGTGGAACCTGCGTCACAAGTAGTGAGCTGGAGCCAGATGTTAGCACAGGGCCTAAAACGGCAGCCAGCACTCACTCTCCTCCCTAATTCCACTCATTTATACACGCGTGCATGACAAGAGAAGGATCCCTTCATTAAAATTCTTGCTTTCCGAAAGCTTGAACACCAACATCCCTTCCACGGTCCTCAAATTTGAAGATCACAAGAGGACGGATTAAAAACACAGGTTACCACCCCCTCCCCCTTCAAGGTTCTGGCTCTGAGGTCATGGGCAGGGCCAAGGAATCTGTATCGTTACGAGGTCCCCAGGTGAGTCACCTGCAGGTGCTTGGCGGGCACAATGACAAGCCCTGCTTCTTTCAGCTAAGGCATGATCCATTTTAAATGTGCATCCACGCACGTACCCACCCCTGCTCACTCTCATGCAAAGCCCGATCCGTCTCCACAGGTGGTCAAAGTGCAGGCGAACCACCCACACGTATCTCTTCGAGGCTGTGCTGAGCCCTGTAAGAGAAGTGTCATGCTCGCTGGAGCAGCTTCATGGCACGGGAGGCATTTGGGCTGGAAGATGGTGGTAGGTGAAGCGGGAGGGAGGGCATAGCAGAGAAGTAACTGCCATGGGCAAAGGCGCTAGACAGAAAATGACACAGAGGGTCGGGGAAAGGTGAGAGGGTGGTGCCTGCTCGTAATGGAAGGGAGGAGGCCAGGGCCAGGAGGGTTGCTCGCTCACACTAGAGTCGGATGTGCGTGCCTTGCAGGGCCTCGGCGAAAGGATCATGGGAGCCGGTGCAGGCTTCTGAGCACAGAGTGATGTGACTTGAGACATGGGCCAGGAAAAATTCTCCAGCTATCGTTGGCAGGACAGATGGAGGTGGGGAGGATCAGGTTCACCTGCTCAGACGCTATTGTAATATGGAGTTCAGGGGAGAAGCGGTGAGGGACGCGTGTCAGGGCCAGGGAGCGGCCAGGCGGAGGAAGGGAAGAAGGTGAGAGGCGCTTCAATTTAGGAGCCCGCGCACTAGGCAAGGGTCGCATGAAGCTCACAGAGGAGGTGAGGCAACAAAGATGGAAGTTTGGGGAAGTGAGGGAAGGATGATCCTCAGCACGGCTGGAGGGAAGGTTGTGCCTTTGGCTTAGGCCTGTTGCGTGTGAGGTGGCAGAGCAATGATCATTGCCAGTGATTGCCAAGGCCAGCGGGCCCTCTCCCCAGTTGCCCACTGCCACCCTGCAATGGCCCCATGTTATCCCCTTCGTGAACCTACCAGCACCCCCCCCCTACCCCGTCACAGGGGCGGGGTGGGGAAGGAAGGCAGGGCTGGGGCTGGAGGAGAAGCCAGGCTGCCAGAGACACTTCGGCAGTGAGGAAGTGCTGATGCCCCCAGGTGGGAGGGGAGGGGAGAGGTGAGGAGGGGAGAAAGAGAAAGAGAGGAGAGGAGGGGAGAAAGAGAAAGAGAGGAGAGGAGGATAAAGGGTGGGAAAGGAGGAGAGGGAGGGGAGCGAGGGGGCAGAGGCTCGGAATTAGAAGCCTTACTGGCCATGAGCAAATGCAGAGAGGAGCAGATGTGAGTTCCGCGGGGATTGGCCCACCGTACACCAGCCATAACCAGCCCAACAGTGGCAGAGACAGACCGCACGGGTTCTCTCCAGTTTTCTCAGCCCACACACTCCCCACAGCCCAGGAAGGTCCAGGTCAGCACAGCTAGGCAAGTCAACACAGAGCAAGTGTACTTACAGGCACCCGAGAGGCCAGGCCTGGGCCTTGAACCAAAGAGAGGATAACAGGCCTTTTGTTAAGTACCGTCTCTGTGCTGGAGCTCTTCCCGGGACTATGAGAGAGAAACCTTAGGCTTGGACCTGGTCAAACACTCACCAAAGCCCCTACAGCTGGTCAGTAGCCCAGGCAGAATGTGAACCCGGGTAGGTCTGTCTCCAGAGTCTGAGATCTTGCAGTCAGGAGGGGGTTCCTGGTAGGGACAGGGGACCCTCCCTGTTCCTGGACGTCCAAACCTACCCAGCAGTGTCCAGACACCCGGCAAATTCAGGAAACCTCTAATACCATTTGTTCCCAGTTGTCTGAAATCTGGCTTCATTTTTCTAAATTCAGCACTCACCCTCAGTTTCCTCCAAGACTAATTCCACTGCAGACCGGATGTCGCTGGAAGTGACTTGTTCACATCCTCCCGGGCTGGGGGGGTTTAGTCCCACCTCTGTGCAGAGCTGGACAGAACCCATGGACAGAGCAGGCCTCCTGGAGCCAATTCTTCCACTTGAACCAGGTCTTTTCACCAGTGATTTGTGATTGATTTGAAGAGCAGAAGTTGGGGATAGATATTTAATTTTGGCTCACTGATTACACTTGTTATATAAATGGACCCAAGTAGAAGCTGGGGCTTGAGACAATGAAATAGAAATGAACTAGACAGAATTTTCAAGAACTTTGAAGATTTGGTCATAGATTTTTCTGGGGTTGGCCCTCACGTTAGTTGCTCCTCATGCTTCTGGATCTCCAAGGTTTAGGAGGGTGAGGGGGGACCAACGGCAAGGCCTGGAAAGGTGGACAAAAACCCCATGTTCTTTGGAAAGTGACAATAGAAAATGCACTCAGCCAATCAGAGCTCCCGTCAAGGCTGGGGACACAGAATGGTCAGTCTGCTCCTGTCAGGAAACCACCATGCTGGGCATTTCACATGGAGGGAATTCCGTACAGGGAATTGCTTATGCAGAAGTTGGGAAAGCCCGGAAACCTGAGAGGAGATGGGGGGCCACTTGGGGCTCAGCCACAGCAGGAAGCTGCCCATACTACCAGGGCCTCGGGGAGGACAGCGGTGTTATCAGAACCCAGAAACCAGGACTGCCAAGTGGGCTGGACCATGGCAGGAGATGCTATCAGAGGACATGCAACCCCCAAACACCCCCAAAATCAAAGAGGGAGGAAGAGACAGAGAAGAACCCTGGCGCCTCCTTCCTTCCCACTTTCCACCCTCCATCAGTGCTGCCACGGGTAGAAACTAGCCCAAAGCCTGCTGCCAGGGAGACTGGGAAATGTTCCCTGCAGTGCAGGGCAGAACAGGGAAGGGGGAGGGAGGGTGTCTGATGGCAATCGGGCACCGAGAGGCCCTCAGCCCTGGTCCTCCATGAGCTCCCGGTCAGACTCAGACCATTGCAAGGATGCACAAGAGTGAGCGTGCAGACGGCTGAGGGAGCCCAGAGGAGGACCCAGCACACCAGCACGGTCGCCAGACCTGAGTTTTAAAGGCTGAACATAATTTGGAGAGGCCGTCTCTGAAGTGAAGGGAAGAAGGTCGGGGCTGGCCATCAAACGAGCCCTCCTTGTAGCACACAATGGACCAGGTATACCTTTCCACACGTACCTTAGTTCTCTTAATCCTCGACACGACCTCACACAGCAGTACCACCTGCTCTTCACACACAAGGAAATGGAGTCTTGGCAGAATAGGGAGGGGAGCACGTCTGCGGGGACAGCTGGGCCATGGCAGGGCCGGCGTCTGGGGCAGCCTCACAGAGCCCGGTCTCTTGCGTTCCCAGGGCAAGCAGCTGCCCTCCTCCAGTCCGCCATCAGTCTTTGGGCAAATGTGACCTTTTCCGGAGGCAGACAACGGAATCCCAGTCTTAACGGACAATGAAGTTAATAAAAGAACGTGCTTATTGAATTGGAACAAAACAGACTATTTGATTAGCTTTAATTACTTCTAACTCCTGTTAAGTATTTACAAGTTCAATGGAAATGTTTTCTTTTATTTTTATTTATTTATTTATTTTTTATTTTTTTTTAAAGATTTTATTTATTTATTTGACATAGAGAGAGAGAGAGAGCACAAGCAGGTGGAGTGGCAGACAGAGGGAGAGGGAGAAGCAGGCTCCAGGAGAAGCAGAATGTTTTCTTTTATTAACGTTTATTGTTTTAAGCTTCAAAAGCAATGAGAACTTCTCTAGAAGTGCCCCAGAGCTTCACTCCTCGGCTAACCACAATCCCATAGGCTGCAGCGCTGGGCACTGGCTCTCACCTGCCCATAGGTGGGTGTGCTTGTGTGTGAGTGTGTGTCTGGGTGAGTGTGAGCGTGTGGGTGACTCTGAACCTCAGTTTCACAGTATTTTTGCACTTGCAATGATTTAATGATCTGTAATTCGTGTTCAGTGCTGTTCCCATCCTCCTGGATCACGAACACTGCAGGACAGCGGCGGTTGTCCCGCTCATGGCATCCGACGCCTGCTGATGCCTCTGACACGCACAGTCAGATGGCGGAGGCATTTACGGGCACATATCAGTACCAGTGCCTGGGATAGCTGCCAGGCATTTCCCTTCATTGACCTAGTCATTCAAGGAGCATTCACTGATCATCTACATCTATGCACCAGATCCAGGGGGGCTGGCATTGAGGAGAGCGTGGGAAGGAAAGCAGGCATGTTCCGTCTCCTCACAAATTTGTTTCTGAGCCTCACGTCCTTGCAAGGCCAGTATTATTATCCTCATTTCATAAATGAGGTTCCAAAAGAGTGAGAAGGATGTCCAAAAGCACACCCCTAAGAAGTGACACAGCCAGGACTCTAATCTTTTTCCCAGCCCGACATGGCCACTTCTCTCTGGCTGGGGCTGGAGGCAGAGGGACAACACACAAATTAACTAGAGAAATCGGAACCCTGTTGGTTGATGTGTTTCTCATACTAAAAGAAGAAAATAAAAGGCCCTTGTAATCCAGTAGCCATAGATAAACAAGACTGCTGTCTGCAAGACCCTTAACACAGCGCCTGGCATACAGAGTGGCCAACACGATAGTCTATTATTACTTTTTTTTTTCCCAAACCAAAATGGGATCATTTTGCACCCCAGGAGACATTTGGCAATGTCTAGAGACGTTTTTAGTTTGGTAACTAGGGGCGGGGTGCTAGTGATGGCTGGAAACCAGGGCTGCAGCTAAATGTTCTACCACACGCGGGACAGCCCCACAGCAAAGGGTTACCCAACCCCAAATGTCAGTAGTGCAGAAGGTGGGAAGCTCATCTAGTGGGAGCTTTTCTTGCATCATTAACTATTCTTCTAAAACATTTTCAGTGGATACAGAGCAATCAACGACATGGATGATGATCTGGAATAAATTGGAAGACTCTTCTTTTCTTGTGACCCAAGTATAGGATTGATCTGCTTTACCCTGCCTTCTGAAGACTTTCATTCGCCTGTGAGGTTTCCTTCACGGACCAGCTTAGGGATGTTGCCCCTGTTTGACTCATTCTACCCCCCACCCCGTCATATTCGTTCTCTCAGGGAACATGGGAGAGTTGAACAAAGGCTGCTTTTTTACAGAAAGAGTCAAGATTCCAAAGATTTGGTTAATATTTTTAAATGACCATCCTCTCAAAGTTCCTTCTCTCTCTACCACAGGCCTGGAGTCCCCTTCTTATGACCTTTGGGGAATGTTGATGTACTTCCGGTAATGGGAACCCTGGAAGCCAGTGCCATGTGACGTGAGCCCAGCCAGATTAGAGCTACTTGAAGTCCCTCTAGACTTAAGGAACAATGGCCTTGTCGGAAATGTCAGGATAATTAGAAAAAACAGTGTTGCTTTGTCTACTCAGGGTGAGGGTCAGGGGACTGCAGAGGCATCAGCTGGGAAGCAGCTACATTTTCTCTAAAACAGGAGGCTACAGAGGACCTACAAGAATCAAGAATCTAGTCCCTATCATTCCATCTTGGCCAGAAGTGGATGTCCCAAGTTTATTGTTTGTGCCAGTTACACCTCCACAAAGCTTTTTTTCTTTTTTTTTAAGTCAAGAGTCTGCAGTGGGACCCTGATTATAACTCAATAAAATTCACAGAACTGGAGACAGGAAGGGACTTAGTAGTTATCTGAGCTGTCACTCAGCCACAGTACTCCTACCTATATTCCCGAGCTTTCCCCACTCCTCTGGTGCCCGCATTTATTGCAGACACAGAAATTCCAAAAGGCAGGACAAACCCCAGGGTCCCCAGATATCCCTGATGGGGCACCTCCAAGTTTGGGAAACTCCCTTTGAGAAAGGTTAGAGGGAGCCCTGGCAAAGAGAGAGACACTCAGGCAGTCCCTAAGGCCACCTGGGATATGCTGGCCTGGAGGGTGGGCATTTCAGTGGCTAGAGGAGCCCGTGGCCACTTGCTGGTACTTAGGAAGGGAAGGCTCCTTGTGAAAGGCAGGAGGATCGGATGGATATTCCTTGGCTCTAGCTCTACCATTAAAATATAATAGGAACAAGAAAAGTTCACTTCCTTCTACAACCCTTCAGGAGAAAAGGTTAAGCCCTACCTGCCAACAAATGGACTCTGCCCCATTGGCTCCTTTGAAAGCCAGATTGTCTGAAGTCCTGTTTGTACCAAACATCAGCAGGGAAACTTAGAAGGAACCACATCTTCTAATGGAGAAATCAATGCATTTGCCTTAGGAGTCAACATTCTGACAGGCAACAGCTGGGTCCATCTGCCCAGATCTGCTCAGATGGGCTTCACCACCATTGTGCCAAGGAGGGGAGTTGCCCCAGCCTCTCTGCATGAGAATGTCTTTTCTCTCTCACTTCTCCCTGACCCCTGCCTGTCACACCCACCCTGGGAGGATTTTGTCATTAACTGATAGGAAGTAGTCTTGGGACAAAGGGCACTAGGGGTGGGAAGGCAAAATGTGGAAAAGCAGGGCCTGTGGGTAGGAAGCAGGGACAGTGGCATGTAAAAACTGGGTGCCAGAGAGCAGTTGGTTGGCAGCTAAGGGCTGGGGGTGGGGAGGAGTCAAGCACCAAAGTTCTAGGATGTACATGTTATGGAATTATCTCTGAGAGCATTGTTACATACCAACTGTACACATAACAAACAACTCAATCACCCACAGGACTCCTTGCGCTCGGGGTCAAAGGATTCTAGACCATAAACAAGTTCTGAGTGGGCAGGGAAGGTGAAGAAAGCCCTGCTGCTGCTCTACC